CGAACAAAACAAAATCTCTCGAAAATGGTGGAAAGCTCAGGATTATCATCGATGAAGTTCTTCTCCGATCAATACCTCTCTTACGCTGATATTCTTCCTCCACGCGAAGTAAGTTTCGCCTCCGATTATTAGATTCCGTCATCTTCTTCTTCTCCGTTGTTTCGATTTGAAAATCTAACATCGTTGTTTTTACAGGCTCGAGCTCGAATCGAAGTCTCTGTTCTCAATCTCCTTCGAATTTTGAATTCTCCAGATCCAGCGATCTCAGATCTCTCCCTGGTACTGTTTTCGCGAGATCTTATCGAATCCCAAATTAGTTGAACAAATTTCTGGGTTTTTTTTTTGAAATTGAGGTTTCGTTTTGATTCGACAGATCAATAGGAAGAGAAGCAATAGTTGTATAAACCAAGGGATACTCACGGATGTTTCTTACGTATTCCTCTCTACTTCGTTTACTAAGAGTTCATTAACGAATGCGAAAACAGCGAAAGCTTTTGTTCGAGGTAATTCGAACAATGTCTGTTTCTCTATTGTTCATCAGATTGGAATCAGTATCAGTAACGATAATGTTTTCAAAACAGTGTGGAAAGTTATGGAGATATGCTTTCAGATTCTGCTTCAAGAAAAACGAGTAACACAAAGAGAGTTGTTCTATAAATTGCTTTGTGATTCACCAGAGTACTTTTCATCTCAGATTGAAGTTAATAGAAGCGTACAAGGTTAATCCAAAGTCAAAAATCAAGCTTAATTTTCATTTTCGATTGAAGAGTTTTTAGTCTGATTACAACGTTTCTTGCTTGATTTATATCAGATGTAGTAGCTCTTTTACGTTGCAGCAGGTACAGTCTTGGGATTATGGCTTCTAGTAGAGGCCTTGTTGCTGGAAGGTTATTTCTACAAGTTAGTAGTTTAATCAAATCTCTTTGCTCTATGCCGGTTTTTCGATAAAGTCCTTATGTTTCACGCTAATCGCACACACAGGAACCAGATAAGGAAGCTGTGGATTGTTTGGCCTGCGGTTCTTCAGGTTTCGCGATATCCGGAGATTTGAATTTGCTAGATAACACCATCATGAGAAGTGATGCTCGGTATATCATTATCGTGGAAAAGGTATCTCTTGATCCAATCAAAGCACATATGACATAAGATAATCGTTCATACAACTCACTCCTGGTTCTGTTTTTAGCATGCGATATTTCATCGGCTAGTGGAAGATCGTGTGTTCAATCACATTCCTTGTGTATTCATCACCGCGAAAGGGTATCCCGATATTGCCACAAGGTCAATTTTCCTACTCAGATTACAGAACCATGTTTGCAATGTAGTAGTCAATGATATTAAGTATAAGCTTGGTAGTTGAATCTTTTAGGTTTTTCCTTCATCGGATGAGCACAACTTTTCCTGATCTACCAATTCTTGCTCTAGTAGATTGGTAAGCATAAACAAACATTTCTCTTCTTTGTCTGGAGCGCTCATAAGCTCATAACTGAGAGGTCTATTAAAAATTGTAAGGAATCCAGCTGGGTTAGCTATACTATGCACCTTCAAGTTTGGAAGCATACGAATGGGTCTTGAAGCTTATAGATATGGTAAAAAAGACTAACTACTAGGAACCAAATCATCTCAAAGTCTCTGTAATGATGCTGGTTTCTGCCTTGTCTTTAGCTTGCAATGTGAAGTGGATTGGGCTTCGAGGAGATGATCTTAATCTGATACCAGAAGAGTCTTTGGTTCCTCAAAAACCAAAAGACTCGCAGATTGCTAAAAGCTTAATGTCCTCCAAAACCTTGCAGGTAAGCTAGCTATGTTGATTGGAATCCATAATCTTACAGTTAATACTTTACTCGACTTTGGTATTTGCTTATGACTAGGAAAACTACAGAGAAGAGTTGTCACTGATGATTGAAACTGGTAAAAGAGCCGAAATTGAAGCTCTGTATTGCCATGGTTATGATTATCTCGGTAAATATATAGCCACAAAGATCGTGCAGGGCAAATACATATAGCTCTTCAAATACCATGTAAGATTTGATACCCACCCAATAAAATCTGTTATATATGGTCTTCAAATAAAAGGGCTAAACAACTTATTATATGGTGATGTTTTATGCAATGTATTAATAGATTACAAACAAATCAAAATTTTAGAATTAAAGGATAATCTTTGTATACATACGGGCATAGTGATTCAGTAACAAAACTTGTCCTAATCTCCACTTGTCCTATGCAGGTATAATGATAATTCCAACAAAAATTGTCCTCACTTCTTTTTTGATACGAGACTGATCTTCGTTCCCTCCACAACAAACTTCCCACTTCGCTCGAGCTGCAACAATGAAGTTAGTTAGTACAACACCAGTAAAAATGATAGGAGGGATTTGGCATATGATAACCTAAGATTTGTATTTTACCTTGAGTTTCAAGTAAGCAATAGCATCTTTGCTCGAAGAGAACTCTGAGAGAACTGATGGTGCTTGTTCATCAATAAGAGATTTTAGCTGTTTCAGCTTGATGGATCCACTACTACCAGCGTCCTGAGAATGTTTTTGCGCATATACATAGAAGATGATACAGGTGAAAGATATCGTGAAAGAAGACAATTGAATATTCAAAGTAAATTGACAACTCACCTTTCGAAGAATCTGCTTGCACAGGTTCTTTAATTTGATTTTGGGTTCAATGATTTCATCA